TCAACTTGCATTATTAAAATAAATAAATTATGACTTTAAGGCTTTTAGAAATCTACTTTACAATTTGCACTCCATAATTTATTTTTCAGTGATTTATATCATTTTAAAAGGATAAATTAACATATTTACTTGAACTGGAAAACATAAGTAAGGAAGAATATTTTGCTTGATGGACCTAAATAATAAATTGCTTTCATCAATTAAATTATATGCCCAGGTTTTTCCATAAACTTAATGTACAAAAATCTGCAGCTTCAGGTTTGTTGTTGTGGTGGTGGTTGTTTTTCTGACAAAAGTACATTTGATTAAAAGCATTTTATCAAAAGACATTCTAGGTTTAGGCAAAATTTATTAAAAATCGTATTTTTCTCAACCTCCTTTCAGTATATGGGAAAGAATATCTGGCATTTGACATTTGCTGGAACTTTCTGGTGTTGGTTCCAGACACTGAGACAGTAACTGCCAACCAAGGCCTGGGTAACAGAACAGAACCTTTGTGACGGAGTGCTTTTCAATCTCTTGTTTGCATTACATATGATAGATCTCTGTGATTTTTTGGCGTGTAACTTGAAAGAAGTGGAAAGAATTGAATGACTTTACTAAATTAAAACTCTTTCCTCTCCTAGCTACTTATGTAAACAAGGTTCTTCAGACATACAAATGCCAAGAGAATACAACTGATAATAAATCCTATTTCATTTGAGTAATAAATACTATTTGCTCTCCAATATCTGAAATATTTTTAATTTAAAAAATTTTTTTAAGGAGTTCAGGACTTCAAATGCCAAGCTCAAGGTTTAATTACAGGAGCAGGATGCGTCTTTTTTTTTTTTTTGAGACGGAGTCTTGCTGTCGCCAGGCTGGAGTGCAGTGGCGCAATCTCGGCTCACTGCAACCTCCGTCTCCTGGGTTCAAGCGATTCTTCTGCCTCAGCCTCCCGAGTACCTAGGACCACAGGCACGTGCCACCATGCCCGGCTATTTTTTATATTTTTAGTAGAGACGAGGTTTCACCATGTTGGCCAGGATAGTCTCGATCTCTTGACCTCGTGATCCGCCCGCCTAGGCCTCCCAAAGTACTGGGATTACAGGCGTGAGCCACAGCGCCCGGCCTGAAATATTTTTAAAATTTCTCTTGAAAAAACATACGATAGATCAACAAAATATCCGTAAGACAAAAATATAAAAAATTAAGATAAAGATCACGGGAAAGAAGAGGAACATCAATCATGATCCTAACAAATGATTTTTTATTTGTGTTGAGTGAAATGCTATAACAGATTCTTCTCTCAATTAGACTGTACAGAAACTGTATAGAAATATAAGTGTTAGGCCGGGCGCGGTGGCTCAAGCCTGTAATCCCAGCACTTTGGGAGGCCGAGGCGGGTGGATCACGAGGTCAAGAGATCGAGACCATCCTGGTCAACATGGTGAAACCCCGTCTCTACTAAAAATACAAAAAAT